CTCTTACGTCCAGAAGGGACATGGAACGAATGACCATCTGCAGAACTTAGCACTTCGCCTTCAGAATAATGCGCTTTCGTTTCCAGAGGGACATACAGAACTTAGTGAAAGGTGTTCTCTGAGCCGTAATTGTGCCTTTAGACGGTTTATTTGGGAAGGATGGAGGAACCAGGGTGTTTCAAGACAGTAACTTCCTCAACTGAAATGACAGTAGGAAGTTGGAGCTGTTCCCTTCTTCCAGAATTGCATAGGAAAGAATTTTCGCTTCCACAGTCACAGCCACATCATGAGTTTGCTTACGGGCATGTTAGACATCGTCGGTCATAGTTCGATGTCATAATGACGATTTCGTCGGCATGGTCAAGATCAGTGATGTAGTGACCACGACTAACTTTGATGTCGGTGAAATCCTTCCGTGATGCCCACATGATCTAATCAATGAGGAATGTGAACAGAAAAGAACAAGGGAAAGGACATAGACCTGGCGGAATATCCGTAAGAAAAGGCCGTCAGTTAACCGAAATAGAACTCCTGCTCGTGTCTAGTGGTGATAAGGCTTATGTACTTTCCAAGATTCTGAAGAACTTGCTGTGTAAAACTAAAGATTCAAAGTAGCTTGAGGTTGTTCAGTTAATTGAACTCTAAAAAAGTTATTACACATAGCACACAACACAGAGGTGAACTGAAATCATGCTGCGAGGCGTCTGCCAGTCCTCTTCGATTGAAATGCCATAATCGATGCCTGGTCATAGTACCACTGGGTGAGTGCAGTGCTTAATACCTAGTTCGAAATTCCTTAATACCGACAGCTGCGTGAGACCACTTCGAACTTGTACGTTTGACTCGCGCATACCGTATCCGACGATCCACGAGCAAATTGAAGTGACCAATCGTGAGTCAAAGTGGCACCTGATGAGGACGGAGGTGAGGGGGGGGGATGGCGGCTAATAGGTCGGCGAAAAGCATGGTCCATCGGACACCTGTGACGTGTAAAACGTTTCGTTAAACTTTGTAAAACTATTTTACTATTTTACTATTTTACTGCCTATGTTCAAATCGAATGACAACGCGCGGATCAGCGCGTTTACAGCTGATCCGATAGAGTAGATTCG